CTTGCAAAAATACCTCCTCCTTCATGGCAAACTGGTTCTTGTCGACGGTCTTCAGGTTAGAACGGAAGTCCACCTTAGCAGCTTCTTTCTTCTTCAGCTTGTCGAATTTGCTATCGGTCTTGGAAACCTTCTTTAGGGTTGGCTTGACGCTAAAAATTGTCATTGGTTATTTTTGGAAATATTTTTCTGCAACAAATCAAACGAAAACATTTTTGTTCAAAATAGGACTACAGCCATACTTCATTTTACTTCTAAAAAATATCATTTGCGAAAAAAAAATTCATGTCAACTTGTTTAATGGAAGACAAGCTCCAAGTATTGTAACCTTAAAATGTTTTTGAAAAGAAAATTTTTGTTCTACGTTTTTAGGAAAAATTTGTGCCCGAGAATGAAGTTACTTTTTTGCTTTCCAATTTTTTTTCCTGAAAAAAATTATTAAGGAGAAATTTCATGCGTACTTTTTAAGAAAAATAAGCTCTAATCAAGGCAACTTCCACGTTTAGAAATTTTTATAATATCATGTCCTCATTCTTAGGAACATTTGTTTCAGCATAAAATCAATCAACTTACATGTTTCCCGAATTTTATTCCTGAAAATAACTAGCGAAAAATTTATGAGTATTTTCCGAAGAAAAGAGCTCCATATATGGCAACTATCAGATGCCTAATAAAATAGTTTCTTCGACAAAATCACCTATTCTATATTTTCAGAAAAATTTGTGTCCCAGTACAAAGTTTACTTTTTCTTCCCGATTTTCTACTTTTGAAGAAAATACCCATCAGCGGTAAACAAATGCTAGTTTAAATTTTTAAAGGAAACGAGTTACATATATGGAACTCCCGAGTAGTTTTTGAAAAAATTCTTGAAAATTCTTACGCACAATTTTCCGCGAAGATCGTTCACAGCAATGGTCAGTTCATTAATTTCGAAGTCTTTCTGTCGTACGGTATAGGAAATGTCATAGTTTTCACTTTCCAGCTCGATAAGGCGTGAACGCATTTGATTGTAGATGGATTCAAGGTCTTCTGCAAGGATATTCAATTTATTTTTGATCACAAATTTTTTATCGAAAAATTCTTACTGGCATCATCAAGATCTGGCAATGGGATGATTCTCTCTTGGAGAACACGTTGCCTTTCTTGTTCTTTCAACATCTGCTGCTGTTTCAAGTCTTCAGCAGCTTTCATCATAAGAAGTTTCTAGACATA